CTAAAAAAGGAGACCACTTTGGTTAAAATTGGAGTTTTTTGGGGGGATGGTGACCTCTGGATGACCTAAAAAATTATCTTTAATATCTCTTAAACAAAAGTAGCACAAACAATATTTTTTTTCTGCACAAATCTGCACTAACGTAGCACTAACCATTCAGTCTATTTGCAGAGTTTTTTGACGTGGGTGGGGTGTCAGCTTCACGCATCTCTCGGATTGGTTCTTGCGCGCTCAAACCGATGGCACAAATATCTCTCTATATCTTTTTACATCTTGACCAATCAGCTGAGGACCCAACAAAATGGCCCAAAGCTTCTACACGCTTTTCAATTTTAACCCAAAGCCCCCAGTCAGCATTGGGCCCTTCTGACACAGCATACAGCATTAGCATATAAGGTGATGCTGGAGCCTCTCTGGTTTTGGCTGACTTACACAGAACGTGATCACATATAGAAATGAACAGATATAAGTTATTTAAAACATGAAATAAAACTAAAAGAATCAATCTTTAACAAAACCCTTGGGATATTTAGAGAAAAAAAGCATAAAAATTCCTGTTAATTTTGAAAAAAAAATTTGAAGCTCAGAAAAAAACAGTGAAACTGTCATGATGCGTTGGTTTTACTAGCCCATATGCAGACTCACAGACACGGAGGAAGGAATAAAAGTCCAATATTTATTGGAACTCAGAGGAATCACAGGTTCAAGGCTCAGACAGGCATGATGGCACAGGTAAGACACACGATCCAGCACAGAGAGACATTCAAACACAGCTTAAATAGGGAGCTTCCTCAATCAGCAGATAAGCAACAGCTGATCAAGCTGAGTCCAAACTCCCCAGGCCTGGATCCACTGCGCCCTCTGGTGGGCAAAGTCCCGGATCCTGACAGAAACCTTTATTAAAAAAAAATACTTAAAGCTGTTGAGGGAAGTCAGATTAGTGAGAAAAAAATAAGAAAGACCTGAGGCAGAATCCTGAGAAGGAAAACCAGCAAAGGGAACCAATAAACACATATTATGCACAGATTAACTTAAAATCTACAAATTAAAGAGAAAAACTTTCTCAAATTAAAATCAAAGAATAAAACCAAAATACAAAGAGGAAAAAAAAAAACATTAATTCACCAAGAAAGTAAACATAAAGAAATGGACCCTTTATTGAAAGAGTAAAAGGGAAAAAAATCAGGAACTGAATATGGCAAAACTTTACTGACAGAAAAACCGAGAAAAAGAAAACCAAAGGACAATAGATCATGATAAAAGAAAGCTTTCCCAAATATATACAGTCTAAATCAACACAGCAACATGTTGTATTCATATCGTGTCGATATTTTAAGACAGTAATTTATTTGCATAGCAGTAAGCAGATTATTCACAATTACTGCACTTCTGAATGACAAAAAGTATATTTAATTCGAGGAAAAAGTAAATAGGTTTCATATTTCTTAGTTTATAATTCTTTCTTCTCCTTTTTGAAGACTTTCCCATCAGACTGCTTTCTCCACTTCAGGGTAACTCCACTCACTCCGTTCTCTGCAAGTTTGTTCTGGAGCTGTAGGATAAAAGTGGAAGACATAAACAACTATAATTTCAAGATTAAACTGAATTATTCATTTGGAAAAAAAATGTGTAATTACTTATTTCAAACCTGCCTTTGTCAGGATTTTCCCTTTTAGAACAGGGTCCTCCATATCCACCGGGTCCTTGAAGTGAAATCTAAGCTTCACTACCTGTTTTACCACTGATTTAAAATAAGGGACAGCAGTAACAAAAGAAAAAAGAAAAAACATAAACAATTGACAAATACTGTTATATTATCAAAGCTTATCCTTGAACTCTGGAACAAAGACCTCACCTTTAATTTTTATTTCTTCATCTCAAGTTACGTCACTAACAAAATAACATAATCCATAAATTCAGTAAATGATGGATTTTGATTGCAGGTTACATTAGAAAACATTTTAAAGGAAATCATCAGTTGCACTCCATTATTTTTCCATAGCTTGCCTTCAAATACTCAAACAAAGATCTCCCCTTCACTTTGCTCATCTCTAAGCTCTAACTGTTATCTTTGGATGAGCTGCCAGGACCGGCCACTGTTCTTCCAGTTGCTGTGGCTGTGCTAGGACCACTGTTTGTTTCTGAAACTACTTATTGTTGACAACTAACAGCTGGCCTCTAACTGTCTTTATACTTGCAGATGCAGGCAGCCTGGTTGGCAACAAGCTAAGCTTAAGATTTCATGTGAGCTTACAAACACCTACAGTAGGTGTCTGGAGTGGACTATGTTAGCTTTAATAGAAATTTGTAAGTATTTATCTTTATTCACCTTTTGGGAAATAAATAGTGAACAGCTGCCTTCCCTAATCTATCTTTTTTCTTTTTATTTCTTCTTATATACATACACACATTTCTGCTGTGTGTATGTATATATGTGTATGTGTATATGTGTATATATATATATATATACATTTATATATATATACATTTATATATACATAGTTTAAATGTTTTATTCTATTTAATGAACCTCTGTAGTCCAGCGAACACTTATTCTGTATTTTTAAATCAGTTTTGAGGAGTTATATCTATAGTTATAGCTTTTATTTCTTTTTATATTTGGATTTTTCATTGTAGAATGCTTACTCTTGTGTTTTATTTAGGTAGACAATTTTAAGATCTGTCCAGGGACAAGATGAAAAAATAGCCTTTTGGCTAATTGTGGTGTATTTTTTAGGAATGCTTTTTAATGTACTCTGTCCCTGTCAAACAAACAAATAAATTAATTAATTAATTAATAAAAAAATGTGATATATTGGTTTATGATTTTGGGGTAACATAAATGCCAGATATCAGGACAAAAATAATATTCATCAGAATTTGCCTTCCTTTGAAAAGAAGCTTCTTATTTTTACTTTGGATTTTAAAACACACTCACCACTATCATAACAGACAAATGGTAATCTTCTTTCACAGGGTAAAAGCTTCCATCTCCCTGACCTCCCAGTAGATGTAGCACCACACACGACTGTCCTCAAGTTCAAGCGAACAAAACCAGAATCCCAGTTGGTAAAGAGGACGCTTCTCCGGTCAGACCAGTGATGATCTGGATCTCTATATAGACCAATCCATGGTTCGTCACCATCAGGTATCAGGCTCTGGACCTGCTGGTCCTGTGTGCTATCTTTTATGGTGGCCAGGTCAATAAAGTTTTCCCTGCAGTGGATCTGAGCATTGGACCAATTCATTGTTGTATTCACATAAACATAATCGGGGTCCAAGCTTAAACCTGTTAGTGACGACAATAGAGGATAAAGTTAAGTAGATGTTCTATGACTGACAATAAGGCTTTAAAGAATGTGTGTCATAATTGATACCTTTGTCTGTGTAGCACAAAAATGGTCGATTTTCTGTGCAGTCACCATCAAACCAACTCCCATAAGAATATGATCCCACACAAAAGTCAACTTCATAAAACCATGATGGTTGATATTCTCTCCAGTTTCTGTAGTCAGCTCCAATCCCAGTGTAACCATCAGACCATTTCCAGTCGATTTTACTGAACAGACCAATCCAGACGTCAGAGCTGTGTCCAGCAGATGAAAGATTTGCATTAAATTTGTTCTGTTCCTCAGAGTTTAGGATGG